TGTTCTTCAACATATGGACAGTAATTTATGTGATTTTCTTACAAAGAAACCAGATTTACCTTGGAAAATTAAATTTAAAATGGTCAGAAATATCTCTAATGGTATAAGAAAATTACATAAACTTTCAAATTCTGCTCACAAAAATTTGCATTCAAGAAATATTTTGATTGATGAGGCCAAGTTTAATTGTGTAATTAGTGACTTTTGGCGTGATCCACCAGGAAAATCGTCTAATAATATTTACAGAAATATTTCATATACTGCTCCCGAAGTATTATGCAACAAGCCATATACAATAAAATCAGATATATACAGCTTAGGGATAATAATGTGGGAACTCTCCTCTGATAAACCCCCTTTTAACGATAAAATTACTAGATCAAATGCTGAGTTTGCTAGTGATATAATTAATGGATTACGACCAAAGGTTGTTGATGGAACTCCACATGATTACGCTGCTTTAATGGTTAAATGTTGGGATACGATTCCCGAAAATAGGCCCGATGCTAATATTATTATGAAGGAAATGGAGACATTACTTAGAAATATTTATGAAAACGATGATATAAATCGAGAATTAAAACTCATTCCAATTAACATTGACTCTAAGATGTCAGTGAAAAATTTTATTAAATGTCTTGGAAGAAAATTTAAACTACTCGGTTGTCTGACCTAGAAAAATACTTTATAGACATTTCACAATTGGTACAAGCCTATGCAAAAAGTGAAATTTTATATCTGCATATCAATATTCATTTTATTTATGAATGCTATTTCCATTGATTGATTTTTTTTAAAGCAAAAAATATGCAAAGAACAAAAAAAAAAAAGATCCATGAAATAAAATCCACACTATTTGTACATATTAGGAGTTATTTTTTAAAAAGAATAAGCATTGGTATCACAATTAGTCTCATTATAATGGTTTTTTTTAAAAAAAAAGTGTTCATTTCATCCGAATTTTCATCATGCATCTATATTAAGTATTATTAATTATTTTATGTTTAGTATTGATATTAATTTTTTATAATATTAATGAAATATGTTTAATATTGGTATTATTATAACCTACACCGTTTATAAATAACCACTCTGATTAGAATTTAGGGTTAGGATGCAGCTTTAAGATAAATAGGAGGTTTTTATATAAAATGTTTTTTTTTATAACATAATATATATTGGATATAAGGCCCCAATCTCAGTTTTCGTGAGGTTTTCAGGGTTTTATTCATTTTTACTTAGAACCCGACCATATTTACTTAGTACATTTTCGAGATATAGCATACTGGTTATCCTTAACCACTGGCACAAGTTAAAAATATCCTTAATATTGATATTAATTATCATTATATTATTATTATTAACGAAATATGTTTAATATTGATATTTATTTTATAACATTAATGAAATATGTTTAATATTGATATT